CATCCCTATCCCCGTTCCCATCCTCGTCCCCATCCGTGTCCCCATCCCCATCTGTGTCCCCCATCCCTATCCCCATCCTTATCACCGTCTGTGTCCCCATCCCCATTCCTGTCCCCATCTGTGTCCCCATCCCTGTCCCCGTTCCCATCCCCGTCCTCATCCCCATCTGCATCCTCATCCCTGTCCCCATCCCTATCCCCATCCCTGCCCCCATTCCCATCCCTGTCCCCATTCCTGTCCTCACCCCATCCCCCTTCCCATCCCCCTCCCTGTCCCTGCCCTCATCCTCATCCTTATCCCCATTCCCGTCCCCATCCCTGTTCTCATCCCATCCCTGTCTCTCCCTCAGGACGCTGCTGGTGAACGCAGGTGCTGTGCTCAACTTCAGGCTGTAAGTGAGCAGGGAGGGAGGGAGGGAGGATTGCTCTGATTTGGGGGGTTCTCCTGCCTGACACGCTCTCTCTGTCCCACAGGAGGAGGAGGGACACGGAGGGATTCGGCGAGGAGTCCAGGGAACCCACGACCGGTAACGGAGAGGCCACGGGGACAGCACAGCCCTGCCCTGGGCTCCCTGAGCACACACAGAAAATCCTTGTCAAACCACAATTTCCCTCTGTTTTGTTGGACATGAATTGCTCTCTGGCTGGAATAACTGGTTTTGCAGCCTGAGATATTCCTCTGTGCAGTTTACAAACCACACTGGTGGTCCCAGATGGGTGGTTTGGGAAGTAGGGAGAAAAAAAAAAAGCACATTTCTTCTAGCATTTTTATCTGTAGGTGCCTGTGCTACAGAGGTAACACTGCTCACTGCCTGATTGCCATTCCAGTGTGGAGAAACCTGTGTTGCTCCCTCATAGCTCTGTTTGCTGCTTAAAATCACAGGAAAACTGTGAACTGCAATGGGTTTGGTGCTCTCTTTTTGGTGTGAGCCCTTTTTGTCATCTGTGGGTTATTTTGCCACGTGTCCTTACAGAGACAGAACATTCACCTCAACCCTCAGATTTCAGTCATTCCTAATCTGAACTTCTTGGTGGTTTTCTGATTGGGTTTTTTTTTCCTGCCAGAGTTGCTTATGTTTCTCAGGCAGAGCTGAAGATGTGACTTGTCAGTGTGTTGTCAGGTATTTTTCATATCAAAGGCTTCTTCCCTTGATTTCTAGGTGACAACATCAGAGAGTTCTTGCTGAGTCTCAGGTATTTTCGGATCTTCATTGCCTTGTGGAATATCTTCATGATGTTCTGCATGATTGTGTAAGTAACACTGTGCAGTGTCATTTTGGTTATGGGAACTCAAATATTGGCATTTTCTTGCTCATATGTTTCTTTTCACATCTCTTTCTCTCCCACTTGACTTTTCCATAATTCTTTTTCATTTTACTTATTTCAATTTCCAACTCTGGGTTGACCTCAATGTTTTTGCTCATGTGATCACATGTAGTGCATGAAAACCTCCTGTGCCAGCCTGTAAGTCACTGAGCCTCAGATAGAGTGTTCCTTGCTGGGGGTTGTCAGATAAAACAGCATTTGGGTCAACATTTGGGTGTAACATTTGGGACATCCCTCATCTTTTGGGGGTGGAAACCCACCCAGTGAACAGGGTGGCACCAGCCTGGCATTGGTGTGACTGTGCATGGTTGTACCTCATTTCTCATCTGCTTTTTTCCCTGTTGCATCCCTCAGGTTATTTGGCTCCTGAAAGTCACCCACAAACACATCTGTTACCTTGGAAGAGACTTTTGGCTGGGAACAAACTTTCCTATAAGTAAAAGATTCTGATACTTTCAAGCTGCAGCTCTTGGCTCGTGGCCTGTTCCTGGGCTTGTCCCCTCCAGCCTGTCCTGTGCTGGGTCACTCACTGCCAGGGGCTTTGGGCCACAGCCTTTACAGTCAAATTATCTCAACTTCACTGAAACAGGGAGAACTTGAGCTGTTTTGCTAAGCTCAGTGGGTTGCAGGGAGGAGTTGCAGCATGACTTCAGCCCCCAGTCCTAAACCTCTGCGTTGTCAGCTCGGGTTGTGTCACCTCATGCCCAGGTTACCTGCAGGTCACACTCCTTGCTTCTCACTTTTACAAAGTGTTGTTCTAACTTCTCACTATTCCATTAGTTTTGTTGGAGAAGTAGAAAAGGATGACTAAAAATATAGGTGGGATTCACTGTTTTTCCAACAAAATGCTTTTAAAATTAAGATTTCAAAGGTTTTGTTTTGGTTTTTTCCTAAACAATATGTAAGGGATTTTGAGTGGGGAAAAATTAATTCTCCAAGCCAATGTTAAGGGATAGTTTTGGAATAATTTGCATTTGGTTGAATAAAGTTGTTCTATTTAAGGGTAAAATGTATCTTTGATGCTGTGTTTATTCTGTTACAGGAGAAATCCATTCTGTGTCAGTGTTTTTTGAGATATAACTAGTCTTACAGTCATGTCTGGATTCTTGTGTTAGTTTTATTCATACTGAGCCTTTCTGATCACTGATTCCCCAACAATCACTAAGGGAGTGCAGTGCTGAGGATCTTCTAAATCAAGCTGTAAGTTATTAGAGGGGTTCCTCATCTTCAGCCCGTGTGACTCCAGAGTTCAACCCCAGGTTGTTCAAAGGAATAAACGTTACTCAGCTCCTATCAGCTGCTTTAAAGCAGCAAGAGGAGGAGTTGGATCTGAGCTGCTCTGCGAGGTCACAGTGCAGGACACTGTGCACACCTGACAGCAGAGTCCTGTCAGAGACAGAGCCACTGTGGCTCGGAGTGCTGGGTTATCCTGGTTATCCATCCCCTGTCCCTTTGCTGCCAGCTGGGGAGCTCTGGGGGGCTGCAGGGCTTGACCCGCTCCCGTTGGGCTGGGCAGGAGATCCTGGGGGTCCCACAGTGCCTGGGCCCAGGGGAACCTGGGGGTCTCACAGTGCCTGGGCCCAGGGGAACCTGGGGGTCCCACAGTGCCTGGGCCTGTGGCTGCTGCTCGGCTCCTGCTGCCTCTCCCCCATCTGCCCCTTTCTCCTCTCTTCTTGCTCCCCTTTTTCCCCTCTCTCCCCTTCCCCCCCATGTGTTTCCCCGTCCCCACTCCCCCTTTTCCCTCTCCCTCCATTGCCCCTATTGCCCCCCTCTCCCTTGC